TTCTATAATCGCAACAAAAGTATTACCGATCAGATTGGTCATTAGATAGTTTTAGAATCTTATCATTGGAACAGATGTATTGCTGTTATTTTCGACGACAAAAAAAAAAAACTATTACAGTTGCAGTGATCTAAAAAATTTATTTGTTTTATTTAGCTGAATTCAGATGGCTTCTTATGCAATGCTGAATTTGCGACTTCGACCCTCTGAGAATCTTCAGAGGATGATTGCCGTTCGAACGTTATTCGGACGGAAAAAAAAGTATATTACTCCAGGAGAAACCCGGCATCAGTTAAAACCACCCCCAGATGAGAAAGGTTACATGAAGTACACTCGTTACTGGTCCAATATCGCAGCTTTTGAACCGCAGTTACGGACCGGTGACACACTTTCCAGGTTGAATATAGCAAATACATTGAAATATCTCACAGATCATTTCGCACAACCGATTTCTGATCCGTCACTCAAATAAAACAAGATAATGAATGTCAATTTTTTTAGCTTCACAAAAATAAGCAAATTGAAATGTCTCAAGAGCAAGATTGTTGAATCAAGTTTTTGACTTATTCTATTGAAAAAGTAGTGAAAGTTATTTTTGTTTGCGAGTGGTTTAGGGCGCTATTTGGAAAGCTGAAAGAATCATATGAACTATATCCTTTTCACCTGCTTGCTACCGTTTACGTTATCATAACTGGTCTATTTATCTACTTGACAACCACTACAATCGAATGTAGGTTACTTAAACGTTTTTCCAGGAACTAAAGAGGTTTCATTTCTTCTTTAAAATACTTCACCGACTTTAAATAAAAAAAAGACTGGTTAGAAAAATTTTAAATTACTATGTTAAACAATATAATCATCTCTGTTGTCCAAAATGGCTAAAAAAACTATAGAAAGTCACCTTTCCCAAGCTTATTTATAAAAATATATGTTATCCTATTCTCAATAAGATTGTTAAGAGGTCTGAAAGCAGGGCAGAAAAAATTCACTGATATTTTCAGTTGGTAATGTTCGTTACAAAACCTGGCCGTATTTGCGTGACAAATATTGGAAATATACCACCTTACCGTAAGTTACACTTTACTTACCCATTTACGGCCGGTACTGTTCGCTTGCAATTTTTCCCCATCTTCGTTGTAACCTCTGCCACAAACGATTCCAGTTTTCAACTCACACTCCTGTATATCTGATTGCGAATTTTATTCACCCTCTCCCTAAACGCCACTGCGGTCCCAGCAACTAAACTCATGCTGTTTTCAGGACAGACCCCACTGGTGCTACACATCAGCGCTTTCCCTTAATGGAACAGCTTCTGGACGAAATTGAAGAAGCTTCACAGGCAAGACGTAAAGAAGACGAAGCCCGTGAACAAGCCATGAAAGCATATAGTGATCATAAAAAACACCGGTAACGGTATTTAACTGTTTCAGTTGTTTAAGCACAATAGGCATTTTTTTGTAAAGGAGTGAACTGTAGTATTCTAGTTTGTAAACTGTATAATTTGTATGCTTTGTTTTCAATATAAAGTTTGTTTTCGCCATCACCTAAATTCCAATTGGCTACTGTGAAATATGAAGAATGAACTTGGTTTAATAAACATCTCTTTGTTTGCCTTATGTTACAAATTTCACAGTCAAGTTAAAACGGCGACACACTGCGAATATTATTACCAATAAATATACAGTACAACCAGGTCATATTTGTGAAGACGAACTGTTTTACCAGCGCTCTTGCGACTATGAAAACGCGAAGTAAATAATCTTTTCTAAAAATAACACGCACTTATAAGGGGGAAAAGCCGTTGAAGTAAGCATAATCACTTTTGCAGCCCGTGTTTGACCCAACTTTGTCGGCATATCAGCTTCGATAAATTTTAAGGCAATATCGTTATTAAATATTTGCAGCCAAAAAATCTAGAGGTAGTAGGAAATAATGGAATGCTTATTGATTAGGCACAATAAAATAGCTACCCAGATAGAAAATTGAGAACGCTAAATGATAACTGCTACCAACATCAATTAATACTGTGATATAGTAAGGCCTATTTTCACAATCAATAAACGTGAATTGGATTTGAACCAAATAAGATCAATCAACTAATTACGGATTTGAGGATAAATAGTAATTTCAAAGAAGCTAATTTAAAAATTTACAGAAATACAGATTGAAGAGATCTGCAAACTTCTCACTTCGTGATCTTCGCCTGAAAGTCTGTAGAAAGAAACATATCAATCTTCATATCTAACGGAGTAGCTGGTTATATGATATGGAGTAGGTACTAAAGTCTTCGATCAATTTAAAAAACTACAAATATTCCGTGTCCGAATTAGACTGCTTAAAAGCGCAAGCTAAGATCCACTGCTACCGTCTTTGCCCATGTTGGCTCGATGGAAAAAAAACTGCTTCGCTGCACGGTTTGGTGCAGCTTGTTTCAGACGGCATATTCGCTCATGGGCTGTATTCAGTTGTGACAACAGTGATTCCTAAAGGAATTTATTAAGAAACCACTTCAGCGAAATAAAAAAACTTAAGTCATTTAACAACAATAGCTAACCTTTTTTTCGATAAGTTTAGCAGTTTCCTCCATACGTTTCAGTTTTGCAATAAGATCATGTCTGGAAATCTTTTTTTTTTGTAAAACTTCGCACTCAGTAAACCGAACAGCAAAATTGATTCGGCTGTGTAAAGATGAAAAAGAAACGAGAGCGTAATAAATGAAGGAGCAACTTGAAAATCAACAAATACTTTATTTTGTACAACGCCACAAGCCTGTTTTCTGTTTCGTACAGTTCCTTGCAAGCTTCAATTTGGTCAGAATAAAGAGCATCCTCATTCCCCAGCCTTGTATTTTGAGATGCGATCGGCTTAAACTGGAGGTTTTTATAAAATGATTCAACAAACTTGTGGATTACAAAATTATCAGTTTTATAAAAAGTAAGAGGATAAAAATTTTATCACCCTCAGCTCTGGACTAATGGATCCTAAAAACTCCATATGCGAACCGGCTTCAAAAGAAAAGACCTGTAAGCAGTCAAGTGTTTGGGACCTAATTTCCGCAAAGTGACAAACTTTACAAAGTTTTTGTCAAATGGGCTTCTGATTAACCCTAAAGATAAAAACAAAGTTGCTTAACTATTACGAACTTAACTGCTTTTTTCAGAAAAACAATTTTTAAACTTGCTAATAATGTTCCACACCGAGCAACTCTTTTTATAATGAAATATAATTTTGGCAGCAAAACCTCTTGTAATAATTTCCTGTAATTTAAGCCAAAATTTAATTTCCGTAAAAACTCATTTGAATGAGTTCTACCAAAAAGTGATATTAGACAGTTCAATGCTAACTTACGTCTCTGTCTTCCGAACATTCTTCCTCGTCAGACTTCAGCGGGTCTTTTCCATTAGGGAAAACCTTAAATAAAACTAAGGAAATATTTTTTATGCAACCTATCCCTCATATTTCAAAACGGAACTGCAGAGAGTGGAAGGCTCTCAAAAACATTTTAACAAGTAAATAAAGTTTACCTTCCTCAGTTCCGATAAGATATCCAAGACGTCTTTCATCGATGGTCTGACCTCCGGAGTTCCGTTCCAACAACTAAAAGAAATAAATGAAGAAGAAATATTGGTTAGTGAAACTTTACAAGAATTAAAAAAGCTTAGCTATTCGAAGTAAGAATACGAACAAAATACCTTGCTACTTACAAAAGAAATCTGAAAATGCGTTTTAAGAAAATCTGGTTATAATGACTTTCAAGAGTTCTGAAGAACCATCAACTAGACTTACTCAGAGATAAGCTCCATAATGACAGGAGGGCAAGGATCGCGAATAACGGGAGGTCTATGACCATGGGAAGCCTGAAAGTGAAAACCTGATGGGTAACTATACTCGAAATAGCTGTAACATTAATGCTGCAAACAGAAACAGACCAGTTACGTCTAATAAATCACCATTTACTTGTTAAGGAACAAACCTGCCACAATATACTGAATGCAGTTGCGTTATTATCAAAAGGACGCCTCCGAGTAAACATTTCCCACAGCGTAATACCAAAACTATAAACGTCACACTTATCAGTGTATGAATGAGACCTAAAGACCTGAAACTTAACATGATACTGCAGCCCATTCTGAACATACCGCAGCCAAGTTTAGCAATGTAACAGCAAAGTTTAACATAAAAAATACAGCTTTACTATGGTTTTTTAAAAAATAAAAAGAACTTCTGGAGCCATCCAACTAGGACTTCCTAAATTGTTAGTCATCAATGTTTTTATAGCTGCAACCGTACCAAAGTCGCAAAGTTTTAGAATCCGGTACCCGTCGCTCAACAACAAGCTTAAAAGCATTCAGTTAAAATCATAATTTTCAGTTTTCGACAAGAATTCAGAATAAGTATCTCCACAGCCTACAAGAAAATGTCATTCACAAATCTGTCAAAAAAGTTACGCACAGATGTTTATGTAATAAAACCAACTTGTTCGGTTTTAAGTCTCTGTGAACCAACCCCTTATTATGAATGAAACTAACAGCGTCTGCGCACTGATAAGCCCAACTAATGACATGATCAGCTTTATATGAAAGACGTAAATGCTGATGGATTACTGAAAAATACAAATTCTTTTGAAAAAAAAAAACGAATTCCTCTGTAAAATAAAAATCAGGATCTATTTTACTAAAAACAGTAAAGGAGAAGCAAAATGTTTAAATAAAGAACAAAACTAAACAGACTACTAAAAAAAATCAAAACTCAACTATCATCCACTGAACCATCGGTCATAAGTTCCATGACAAACGCTAGCTTACCGTCACAGCTGCACTGACCAATTACCCGTATAATATTTGGATGTCGAAGACGATACAGTTGTTCCATCTTAAACTGTAATATTACCAAAAAAGTAATGAATAACATTCTCACAGAGTTACTAGTAAAAAAAACATCGCTGCCTTATACAAATTTTGTTAAGGTAGTCTGAAAAAATTAAAATCTTAATTCCAAAAACGCACCTCATTAATAAACTGTTTCTTACATAGGTCAGAGTTATTCTCCAGTATCTTCATAGCTACTGACTCGCCACAGTAGCGGGCTCCTCTGACTTCACCAAACCCTCCTCTAAAAAACACTTTAAAACTGGCCACAAGTCAGACTGCAGCAAGAATTTTGCATCCATGGATGTATGCAGTACCAGTGAATAATAATTTAACGAGTCACAAGAAGAAAAGGAGAAAAGTAATAACCTCCCAATATGATTCGTCGACTTCAATAAGTCGGACTGAATAAACGGCACTACCTCGTTACCTGTATCCATTACGGCATGGTCTACAGCTCAAATCTGTTTAAACAAATCTTGTGATAAATCCAGAAAGAACAAAATAAAGTATTAATTCTTCTCTGGACACATCAGCATCTAGGATACTCAGTGAGCAGAAAATCACATCCGTTTTTTCCCCAAACTAAATACCTGAAAAAGAGCTGTTAGAACGTTCCATAATAAATCAGTAAAAGTACTAAATCGGCAGCCCAAAAACGCTCTTTTTACTTTGTCTTTTTCAAAGTCAACATCCTCTTTTGCTAATCATGCATTTCTTAACTTCGTAATTGTATGCCCATCCCCTTTCACATATAATCATCCGAAATAAAGACCGGCAGGAAAACTTGATAGATAAAACCATAATTGTCTAACAGCTTTCGTTTTCCAAAAAAACGCAATCTACAGATTGAACTTCTGGCTTTTGATGATTCTCCAGTGTAATTATACTATCGGCTAATACGTCGGTTTAGTCACCGTTATCTAACTAGGGTTACAGGGGAAGACGACGAAGCAGTTTTTGTTGTTATTGTTGCTGCTGTTGCAAGTTTACATTTTTTTTAACCTCCGCTAATCCCTATCTCTGATATTTGTCTTTTATAAGCAAAAAAAGTTTTAGGAACTAAAGCAAGAAACATCAATATTTCCCCTAAACAAAAAAGTTCGACCCAGCTTTTTCTTACCGGGCGATTTAGCGTCGCTTCTTCACCGACTGGTCCAACTCCCACGTTACTTTTTCATACTCAGAGAAAGTTTTAAAAAAACGTTATATGCATTTAGTACTGTCTAATAACTGCTTGACAGCATCTACTATATCTTTGAATAAACCTTATTTTGTTAGCATTCAAAGTTGGGAGACGCTATAAAACATTATTACTGCAAATAGTAGAATGGGTTTGAGAATCTAGAGAAAAATTAATATTTTGCAAAAGTGAACCTTAAAACTGTTACACGTACGACAATAAATACCGATGACAATTTGCAGCTTTACGTTTGTTTAATCAGGGGGAAAAGTTAAGGAATCCTGAGATAAAAATGTATTCACAGAAATTGTTCCAATTTGTTACCTCCTTTAAAAACACTTCAAAAGCGTAATTTAAGAAGTATTCAAATAAAAATTTGAAAAAAAAAAAAA